GCCGCGGATCCTCAGGTTGCAAGGTCATCACAGCGAGTCGGTGCTCTTTCCAGAGATCGGACTCCCTGCAGGCGATGCACGTTGTGACATATCGATCAAAGTTTGGGCTGTTGATGAGTTTGACTGGCTGGCCCAACGGCATGCATGGATGACCTTTCGGAGCTATATTGACGATAGTAGCATGCGGCTATCCAGCAGCAGTCCCGAAGTTGTGGTGCAATTGGCGGTCAGTGCATACCGTGACTTTGTGGAGGTGTCCGGCATGCTAGAAGCCACAATCAACGACAACCTGGTAGTTGTTGGCAGTTCGCTATCCTTGGCCAGACAATTTGCGGCAGATGCTGGGCTACCACAAGAAGTGGCGAAGCAGAATGCGGTGCATGTGGGCACTGACATCAGCGAAGGCAGGCGTCGTGGCGCTGGTGGTGCCCGCAAGCAAAGGCAGAAGCGGGGTCTGAAAATGATACGACGACTTCGTAAGCTTCGACGGCTTCACAAAGCGATTGCTGGTGTGGACAAAGCTCAGGCGTGTGGAAAGATTGGCAAAGTTGGTACCACTCCTGAAAAGTGCTACGGCTCAGAGATTGTTGGCATGGATGATACTGAATGTCGGAAACTACGAGCTGCCCATGCGCGATGCAAGCTACCTGCGCATGGAGGGGTCCGCTTGACGGCCAGGGTTGTGCTCAACGGCGACTCATCGGCGAAGCTTGCAGTCGCACCAGCGGTGCAATGGTGCCGAATGCTGCGGGTAGCCAAGACCAGCCCCCACGCCATGATCAGTGCGCAGAGGCTCCTGCAGCTCTGGGGGGAAGTGCGACCAGGGAATGACACTGAGCTGAGCTGGGCCTACAGCAGAGGGCCCATACGTCGAGCTGTACTGGCGGCGCAGCGAGCAGGCTGGGCAGTCACGTCGGCGACGAGATGGACTGATCATCGAGGCTGTGAGGTGGCCATCGATCGGATTTCACCAGGATTGCTTGGTCAGTTGCTGAGTGCAGGCGTACAGCGCAAGCACGAGATAATACTAGCAGCGAAAGTGAGCGAGCCTCGAGTGAGACCCGATGAGCCCAGTTTGCCGAGAGCCTCTTTTGATTTCATCAAGCGAGTGATTAGCCCAGCGAGCTAGCGCTACAGCAAACATCAGAAATTCCTGATCAGCTGCTGCGCCTGTGATGGTGTTTGGACGCGAAGTCGCGCGAAGATAGCTGGCTACGTGACGGATGGTATTTGCGAGTGTGGGCGCGAAGATACCATCAAACACCGTCTGTATGAATGTCAGCTAGCAGCAGTAGCAACAGCACGAGAGGAAGCGGGTGTGCCTGCAAGTTTTATGCAGGCAGCAATTGAATCTGATGGCCCGATCTTCTCTCGTGGTTTGTGCCTGTACAATGAGCATGGCATTCCTCCCCCTCCTGCTCCTTGGAGGTTCTGTTGAAGGATGGGGGTGGGAACTCTCTCGGTATTCAACCAAAGGAATTAGCAGGCCTGTCTGTATCCCCATTGCTTGAGCTTGCAGTTGGCGGCTCATGTTTCAAGCCAGGGCTGCGAGAGCTCGAGCGAGCGACCTGGTCCGTGGTTGTACAGGCGCCAGGAGACCAAATTGCTGGGGTAATGAAAGGAGCAGTGCCAGGCCATCTGCCTCACACTCCCAGCGTTGCCGAGCATGTAGCCTTAAGCATCGCAGCGCAGATTGCTGACAGAGCATGCTCGGTTGCAGCTGACTGCATGAGTGCTACCAGGCAGTTCGACAATGCAGTAGACAGGCAGATGAAAAGCATCCGCTGTTTTTTGGTTTCGCCCACAAGTTTGCTCACGCCCTGCCAGGACGTAAACATGTTGATGTTCTTCATGTCAAGGCCCACCGAAGCATGCAGGCCATTGACGAATTAGATGAAGCTGAAAAGCGCCTGGCGTTGGCCAACAGTCGCGCTGATCGAGAGGCGAAGAATGCTGCTTGCCTCCGCCCTGCTCCGAGTCCTGCCCTCCTCAGAGATCTTGAGTTGGCAGAGGAGCGAGCATTCGATTTCGCCAAGGTCGCCGCCGCGGTGTCGCCCCTCTTTGAAGTTTCGGAGGCCCAGCGCTGGCGGCGACCACTGTCTTTCGGGAAGAGAGCGAGGCGGGCGGTGAGGACTGGGTGGCACGACTGGGTTTGGGGCGAGCTGGGATGGCAGTGCGTGTAATGTTTTTGCGTTGGCCCCCAGGTAGGACAACTGCCGATGACAGGCTGCCAGGGGGCGCCAATATTTCTAGAGCAGTTCACCCTCCGGGATTTGGGGCGTAGGCCGGTGGCAGTGTCGGGTTCCGGGCTGGCGTCGGCGCGAGCCACATCTGACCTCCAGCGGGCCCAGCTCCTGTGTATTCGTTGCGGAGCGTGGGGCCAAGAGAAGGCCATCAAGCTCAAGAGAGAGCGCAGACCCCCCAGTCGCACAGGGGGTGAAGTTCTTTCTAGGTGCAGGCGGGGTTTCGCGCCAAATCCCAGGGTCAGAGCTTTGCTGGAGGCAGCGATCCCCGCAAGCATGTTCAGGTGAGTTTTGCCTCGAGGCGCCAGGTTCAGACTACGCAGGTGGTCAGCGACCTCGGCGCCAAGGCCGAGCACGGCTACGAAGTGAGGGTGAAGGCGCTGTGCGACAGGGTACGGCACCGCGAGGAGCTAGGCTCGCGGCCGCCTGCTGCGGCCGAGGCCCCTCCGCTCCGTGTCGAGGAAGAGGCGGCTGAGGAGGGTGAGGGTCCTCTGGCCACTGTGCCTCCCTCGTAACTCGTGTTGTTTTCGGCCAGTGGCCATTCGACCTCGACTCGTTTCGTCTGGCGGCGTCCGATCCTATCCTATCCTATCCAATCCAATCCAATCCTATCCTCCTCCTCCTCCTCCTCCTCCTCCTC